CATGCATGACTCGATACCAAGCTGTCAAAACGCTGTTTTTGTGTTTCTTTAATTTTCAGGCGGGCAATGTGCCAAGTCAGTTTGCAGCCGGACAAACCCCATTGCAACCGACCAATACAGCAGCTCAGGCGATGGTTGCTATTCCAGTATTCAGTTGCAACGCCCTTCAGTAGCTTTCTTCTTGCTTCTTCCCAGTAACTGTAACAGCACCTTTTGTAATATTTATGTTTAATCTTTTAAGTAATATTAATGTTACACGTCGTGAAAACCCTTAACTCTAGCTCTCAAAGCATTAAACAAAGAGATTCATGATGGTGACGGTGTTTGGATATCTGATCTTAATTAGCATAGATTTTGACGATTTTAGTTCTCCATTTTCTTTTCTATTTTAGTTTCGATTGAGAAGATGTATCAAGCACAAAAAGACATTGTTTGACCACATTTTCAAATACCTCGAAGTTCGTCAAAAATACGCGTTTGATATATCACGTTCCACGTTTGATATATTACTTCCAACTCTCTCTTCGTTTTGCCTCCTCATGATCAGTTATTGCTAACTAGCTTAAGGCCTGTTTTGAAAAAAATACTGGTCGAGTTCATTTTTGCAAGTTCATGGGCTGTGTCGCACGCGAGATCCATGGAAAAACAAAAACAAAAAAAAAAACGAAATCAATGTTCCTGAATACGTTTCGAACAACCTGGTCCAAACGTCTAAATTTTTGGTAGCGGAGCCCCATACTGATATAGGAAAGAAAAGGAAACCCATGAGTTGATTTTCTCATGGTTATCATAGCTAGCGGTATTTCTCGTGGGCTCGTACGCACTACGGCGACGGCGACGACGACGACGACGGAGTCGCGCAACATGGCGGCCATACTCTAAATAATAGGTTGACAGAGACATGCAGCCTTGGTTTACCGTGTACTTCTTTGGTAATGAACATCCATCTTATGATCAATTGACACCTGTCAAAACAAGGTATCCGGTGACCATTATCACGTGACCATATCGCGGGCTCAAGTTTACAGCTGATCGTGGTCGCGTGTTTTTATGAAGTTGACCGCTGAACAAGTGCTGGTTTTTGATTGGATCGCGGGCTCCTCTCAGTTTAACCTGTTGAAAACAGGGCAGGATATTTCGGAAGCCGGTTAACGCTAACCCAGGATTAAAAATTAACCAAATTATAACTTTTTTTTCTATACATATGTTTTTTCCTGCTTTGTTTTGTGTATATAGTGATTATTAAAACTCAAAACAG